GCATGGCAACCTAAACTGATGTACTTGCGTACGAAAAGACTGAGGCAGGCGCGGGAGATTGTATTTAGCGAATTTACACTCTTAGTCAATTAAAAACGAAAACATTACATTGAATACTCTATTTGCACATCATCTTTGAGTCCTGACTTCCAACGCTCCAAACTTCTTTCATTCCTGCTGTTGCTTCCTTTACTTCCTGTCGGTACTCCATTTCCTTCTTGCTTTTGCTCCATTTGCTTTTTCCTCCAGTGACCGTGAGAGTTCTTCTTTCACGTCCATTCTTGTACTACTTATATCGTTCGTATAAGTAGCACACACCACACTCGTCCCCCCTTTAACAAGTCGCTCTCTCAGTCTTTCTGATCGCCGTACAGCCGTCTTTTTTTTCCGGGTTTGTTGCCCGCCCCCTTGGCCCCCCTGGGACCACCTTTGGAGTTCACTGGCATTCGCGCGTTTCTGTTTGTTTCCTTTCTGGATCATATACACTGCGCCGCGTCTCTCGGTGACGAGGTACGGTCCCTCCCACTTCGGGATCAGCTTACCTGACCCTGACCCTCTTCCTGTGGTACATTTCCGTTCTCTTTACTTCACTTCGTTTCCCAATTCAAACAGTGTCCATTTCTTTCTCTCCTTTTCTGAATTCTCCATGTCTGATGTTTTTTCTCCTCTCACTATCCTGATTGCTTGTATCCGCACTGTTCTCAACCTTGTTGTATTCCATCTCTGTTGTTGCGGACAGGTTTTATCACGATAAGCACAGGAAACAGAAAAATGTTTTCTTGTTTTTAAATGATGATTCTATCTAATAAAACACATAAACAAACCGAGAGAGAGAGAGAGGCAAAAATTAAAATGCACATTAAAAAAAGATGAGTTATTAGGCTTATTTTCAATACTAATAATAATAATTATGGTGTTATTAGTAGTATTAGTAGTAATATAAGTAGTATCAGTTGTCGCCTTTATACAACAATACTAAAAATTGTAACCCAAAAATAAAATCTCAAGTACAATCTTTTTTCCGGTTATCATCATCATCATCATCATCATAAATTCTTTTTGAAAATTTCAACTTAACTTTTACATAAAAAATCATAAATTAATTTATATTCATCTGATTTAACTAACAACGGTGGTAATAATATTCAATTTTCAATTTAAATTGTATTCAAAATTCAATTATATAAATGTGTGTGTTTTTTTCTAATCTTCTGCATTCCTCATAATCTCTATCTTTCTCCTTCTAAATTTATCTTACTGAATTATACTTCTCGAATCATATCTTCGCTCCCTAATCTTCTCCATTACTGCTAATAGTACTTCTATTATTGCCATCACTCTAGGATTTGAACTGACAGTTGCGTCTCTGTGCTGATGTGGTATGACAACTTGAACTGATGTACTTACGTACGAAGAGACTGAGGCAGGCGGGAAAGATTGTATTATGCAAATTTACACTCTTAGTCAATTAAAAACGTAAACTTTACATTGAACACTCTATTTGCACACCATCTTTGAGTGCTGACTTCCAACGCTGCAGCCTTCTTCCATTCCTGTTGTTGCTTCCTTTCCTTCCTGTTGGTACTCCATTTACTTCTTGCTTTTGCTCCATTTGCTTTCCGTTTTCCTCTTGTGACCATGAGAGTTCTTCTTTCACGACCCTTATTATACTACTTATATCGTTCGTATATGTAGCACACACCACACTCGTCCCCCCTTTAACAAGTCGCTCTCTCAGTCTCTCTGATCACCGTACAGCCGTCTTCTTTATCAGTGTTTGTTGCTCGCCCTCTTGGCGCACCTGGAACCACCTTTGGAGTTCACTGGCATTCACGCGTTTCTGTTTTTTTCCTTTCTGGATCATATACACTGCGCCGCGTCTCTCGGTGACGAGGTACTATCCCTCTCACTTCGGGGTCAGCTTACCTGACCCTGGCCCTCTTCCTGTGGTATATTTCCGTTCTTTACACTTCACTTGGTCTCCCACTTCAAACGGTCTCCAGTTCTTTCTCTCCTGTTCTGACTTCTCCATGTCTGATGTTTGTTTCTGTCTCTCACATTCCTGATTGCTTGTCTCCGCTCTGTTCTCAATCTTGTTGTATTCCATCTCTGTTGTTGCGGCCAGGTTTTATCACGATAAGCACAGAAACAGAAAAATGTTTTCTTTTTTTAAATGAGATTCTATCCAATAAAACACATAAACAAACCAAGAGAGAGAGAGAGGCAAGAGTAAAATGCACATTAAAAAAAACATGAGTTATTAGGCTTATTTTCAATACTAATAATAATAATTGTGGTATTATTATTAGTAGTAATATAAGTAGTATCAGTTGTCGCCTTTATACAACAATACTACAAATTGTAACCAAAAATAAAATCTCAAGTACAATTTTTTTTCCGGTTATCATCATCATCATCATCATCATCATAAATTTTTTTTTAATTTCAACTTAACTTTTACATAAAACAATCATAAATTAATTTATACTCTTCTGATTTAACTAACAACAGTGGTAATAATATTCAATTTTCAATTTAAATTGTATTCAAAAATCAATTATATAAATGTGCATATAGATGTGTGTGTTTTTTAACTGCTTCGAATAATTTATAGATTTATTGATATATTAGTGGTGGTTACTTTTTCACTCTCACACTCTTTATTCATATGAATAAATAAACAACACCGGTAAAATTATCATTTAAATCTTCATTCAAAATAAATTTTTAAAAAAAATAATTATTCATACATTTAAACAAACAAATCACTAAATAAATAAAATGTACTCATCATTAAATCACAATTAAAAAAACAGTGAATAAATGGAATCGAGGGGAAAAAAATTTACAAAAGTGATGGTGTTATTGTGTTGTTGCTGTTGTGAGTATAATTAAATTTCAAAAGCATATGTTCAATGGGTTCAATAATGTATTCATTCATTTAAACAAAATTTTTAGATATATATATATATATATATGTATAATTAACCTGGCATTCGAAAACATTATTATTGTTTATATTAAAACAATTGTAGTAGAATGTAGTAGGTAAAAGATTGTGCTTAGTAAAATTTATTAATTTATATCAATATGAATTTTGGAAATAAGCTCTTAGAATATATATATATAGAAGAAATGAGAAATTTATTTACAGAGCTACTGTGAATAAATTATTTATGACTAGTGTTTGTTTGTATTCAGTATATAGATAGATGTTTAATGATAAATGCATGTAAACACACATTCTATAAAATAATGATTGTATATTTTCGTTATACTTTCTCGTTTAGCTTGGGACAAACGAGTAAATAATGTTGTTGTTAGGAAACAAGTACTAGATAAGGATGACAAATCAGTTGTGGTGGTTGAGACATGTGTTATATATGCCCGACCACCGACCACCTTGACGAGCTATGTTTTGTGGTGTAAGAGGAATAGGTTGGAAGAAAGCTAGGTGTGGGCCAAACCAAAACATCGTACAAATCTATGAAGTTACTGACAAGTGGACTGAGTCATGTTTGTAGATGTAGGCTACGTGGTTGGGGTCCACGAGAGGAAAGTCACCAATGGTTAGAGACCTTGAACGACATGACTCAAAATCGTTTGTGTTCTCTCAAATCCTAATCTTCTGAATTCCTCATGACCGTTTTTTTTTCATTTTTTTAAAATCGATTGCTCTGAGGTATACATCTCGAATGACACATTCGATTATTAATCTTGCAGTGAGTCATTCAATGTCTAGCTCACATGACTTGTCCTACTTGTTAGTTGACCTTGTCAATCATTCGTCGCTCTCATTCATATGTGTGCTTGCCTATCTGGTTTGTTACATACATGTCTGTCTTATTTTTGTCTGACTCTAAATTCTTAGTCATTCTTTTTCTCTGGGAATTGGCTCACTAGCCTTCTCCACTTCGCTTCATCCATTCATTCGCACATTCGCCCGCTAGTGTGCCTGACCTGTCTGCTTGTGGTCTGCTGTCCCATTTTTGTAGTATGCTAAAAATAAACGAATTCGACACTTCGTATTTGCCTTCTGATTGATTTATAACCGTCAGGCGTTATTTGATGCTGATTGCCTAGACGAGTGGATTACGATGATTAAAAACACGTTGAAATTGGCCATCACAATCTTTTTGATTACTGCCAATACCTCTGCTATTTTTACTACTATGGGATTTGAACTGATGATTGCATCGGTGTGCTAATGTGGTATGGCAACTTGAACTGATGTATGTACGTACGAAGTTCTACGTTGTAACTGACTGATACGTTTGATTATTTATCTATTACAAAAATTAATGG